AATCACAGTGATTTTACATGAGTGAAATCATCTTATTATTCTTACACCATGGACTGTGCGATGCGTATGTCAAAATAATTTACAAAAATGAAAGGAATCGTGGAAGATGGCTAATCTCTATCTTTTTCTATTCAATGGTGAAGTTGTGATTAGAAAGAGAGGAAGATTGGTCGTCTTCTACGGTCTCTCTCATTATCATGTCAACAACATTTGAATACTATTTAGATACAGATCGCGCAATTCATTCTTTATATCTCTTTAATTATGTTTATATATTTTATATATAAATGAATAATAATTCTTTACGAAAAATACACAACGATTTGTAGTAATCTTTAATGATAAAATTAAACAATTTTCTCTGAAAGTATTAAATAACGATAATTGACTTTGCGTATTTCCTGTTTATTTACTTGGCTTTGATACTAGGCTTCTTCTCGAGATCTACAATAGATATTTTAAGTCTTAAGTAAAAAATTGACCAGCTATCGAATGCGAGAAGAATAATTGACTATGATTCCATTTCTTATGGCTTAAGATTTAAAAACCTATTGTAAATCCGGACTAATACATACACTTATCCCCCTGCCATTTTATTTCAATTCATTGTTGCAGAGAGCTTTTAAGTTCGGCTTAATCTATTGGAATACATTCTATTTCCGTCCTAAACTCATTGCTGTGATGATTTTACACGCATTGGAACATTAATGAGCAGAAGAACGTGCGGTACAGTAAATCAATATCCAAGAGAAAGGAAGATAAAGAAGAGCGACATTCCACAATAATCTTCCGATGTAGTCGAATTTTTGCTATTTCGAATTGAGTAATAGTCTTCCTTACATAGGGTATGGTCAATGTGATGCTATAAATGCTTTAAAGCGTTTTTTAATTAGTCAATTTGTAAAATTCTTTCTTCTGATTGGTCCATCAAATGCTTCAAAGCATTTGTAGCGAGACTTTGATTACAGTCATAGTTAGGTATTCGGTTTATAGGTTTTTTTATCTTGTATAAATACATATGTGTGTATATGGATTTGTATAACGATAGTTGCATTAATACTCGCTAGAGTAAGTGCAAGAATTTATTCCATAAACGATACTTCGAAACGACGCAAGAAGGAATTCGTCACTAGCAAACGCATTTGTAAATACGCATAAGATAAGTACTGGTGACGAATTGACAATTCGTTGAAGCTGCTCGTCAATATAGTTTGGCACACTCTCATCATGCTCCAAGCATGTTTACCATCATTTCTGTGAATCAGGCGGCGGATTTATTTATGTACGTGGTTGTAAATATATTTTATTTCGAGACTCATAGATACATATGTATATGCTGCGATTCGAAATTATTCCGATATTACAAGATATATTTATAAAAATTACATTTTGTGAACAAGTAACTTTTCCGTTAAAAATCGATAATGCATTTCTTCGGTATCTTAACGAAGGAAGATACCTCATATACTGTATGGACATTTTTATGCGACGAGGAGATTCATAATTATCGCTTATTTTTACGTTAAGATGATATTAGTAATCGTAATGACTCTGTCGCCAGCTCAATAAAACGACCGCAAGGCCTGCACATTTAAATCATCCGTTGCTCATTTAAATTTCAATAAGAATATTTACAATATAGAATTAAATTCTATTGTAGTAGTATAAAGAAAGATTTGTATACTAAATTGGCGCACAATTTTGCGACATATTTTTTATAATTGTGGTTTTACCTTGTCTATCTTTTTAGAAAAGAATACCTGTATTTGCATTTTTTGGAATGGAAGCATTTTACTATATAACAGTATTAATCTAGGAGCAAAAATAATTGAAATTACTCTTAAGAGAAGTAGCTTATTCAACGCAACGTTCGCGTTTTGTGATATAATTAACGAATCCGAAAACAAGCTTATGACAATCGATCGTACTTTTAACGGTGGCTTGATTGAATGCCTGTAAAAGAAACTCAGAGTAAGAGATATATATTATAGAGTAAGAGATATAGATATAGAGAGAAAAAGATCTTAGAAAACAGATACATGGCGATGTAAACACTACGAATCTAATTTAACTTTTTCCAGCGCTTGATAAATTAACAGAAGATAATACGCGACATTTATATATTGAATTGAGTAAAAAATAACTTCGTATTATTTTTAGAATTGAATGTCACCTATAAAAGCGAAGTTATTTTTTTACTTCACCCAATATGATAATTTTTTCTCATCGTTTTTATACAAATGAATGGAGATACCATTGTTGATAGTTTGAAATTGTGCATATGCAAATATCGAATGTAAATGAAACACGGGCTATTACGTAACTACTTTAAACACTTTATGCATATTTTAGCACATGCTTCTATAACGATTTCCAGAGTAAGATAGAAATTAAAAAAACGCCAGCCGTAATATTACCCCGACGTGATTGTACGTGTCTGTACAAAAATAAATTATGGAAATATAATTTGTCGATCGGATATCGTAATGAACGAATGATTTGTTAATATTCTAAAATTAGGTATATATATTAAGAACCAAAATTAAGATCTAATTGTATCTGTACTGTGAATACACAAATTTAAATAATATCAGTGTATTCATTACTATTCTGTGTTTCTTATTTCTCAATACTTACATTCGATATTTGCATATGCATATGAGAATTCCAACTGAGATTCCCCACGTAGATTCGCGAGTGTTGATGGAAGACCACTGTTGACGGACGATTCGGGCATTTCATCAAGCCAATCCAAGTATTCTAATGTGTGCGTAATTTGTATAAATTTTTTTGGCTTCAAGGAAGAAGCTTTGTCATAACTCAATTTGTTAAAGTGGTATTGTGACTTTTTAAAATTTTTATAAGAAATTTATTATTATTGTATAAAAAGATCCGGAAGGGACATGAGGGAAATCTCGTCGTTGTGGGACATGCCGTGTCGTTTAATTAGTTAGTCAACAGTGAGTAGTGTGTTGCATAGTAAGGACGGCTATGTCAAGCACGCTTGAAATGTCTAGTGAGGCAATGAGCTGGTTCTCGGAGCTGTAAAAATTATGGAAGTATCTCTACGAGAAAGTGCCGCAAGTTCTCTGCGCAGTTGATTTTCTGACGATTCATTTCGAATATATCCGTTCTTCGCGAAGTCAATCGAATGTCTTCTGTACCATATCGGCGATGAAACACGGGCTATTACGTAACTACTTTAAACACTTTATGCATATTTTAGCACATGCTTCTATAACGATTTCCAGAGTAAGATAGAAATTAAAAAAACGCCAGCCGTAATATTACCCCGACGTGATTGTACGTGTCTGTACAAAAATAAATTATGGAAATATAATTTGTCGATCGGATATCGTAACGAACGAATGATTTGTTAATATTCTAAAATTAGGTATATATGTTAAGAACCAAAATTAAGATCTAATTGTATCTGTATTGTGAATACACAAATTTAAATAATATCAGTGTATTCATTACTATTCTGTGTTTCTTATTTCTCA